GGTTATTGAGCTGAACTTAATGACTGGCTGAAAAGTATTTGTCAACACAACAGCTGGAGAGCAACACTTTCTTGTGGCTTTATGTCACAGCATATGCCAGCCACTCAGAACATGTGATAATTCAACTGGAGCTGGTACTACAATAGCAGATGGGTTGAAGCATTGTTATTCTCACTCTAGCTCCCAGCCCTTGAGGGATCACTAAATAAAATCAAAGCAGATGGACCATTACAAGCTCATTTGTGTTCACTACAAGCACCTCAACCTCCAGTTGTGATATACTGCACCTTTGTATAAAATGACATGTATGGTAACATGGCCTAATGAAAATAGCATCAGACTTGGCAAGTGAGGAATGAGGCTGGGAAATATGCACAGATCTATTTATCACTGAGTTCTTACCTTGCAGAAACTGTTCATTCCCCAACCCCCAGTGTTTATCATTGTATTTCTCTCCATGTTTATAATTTAATTTCCTCACACTCGTCATAAGAACTAAGAGGTGGCTGTTGGTTCTGGCTGTAGGAGCTTAGCAGGATTCCTGGCCTCTGCAAAGACAGGATGAATGCTACTAACCAAAGGAGTGCAAAACTCATTCCTACCCACTGTTGATAAATATGTTACTCCAGGTGGCCCACACGTGTCAAGGCTCTGACCACCCACTGACACCAATATCTGCAGGGATCAGGACTCCCTGTATGTTTCTTTTCCACAACTCTACCTTTTTGAGCTTATGGGGGACTTAATACAGAAAATCAACTGCTCCACTAAATTCCAGAATTTTTGTCTCTGAGGTCGGAGTCAGCATCTCTGACCTAACTATGGATGTCTCAGGGCATGGGAGGCAATTGCTTCTAAAGGAGGAAAGATATTAAAACTGTCTGTTTATGGAGGGGAATCCTCTGGGGCCTTATGGCTAAGTTACAGTTTGCACTGAAAAATTGGTTCATGCCTTCCTCAGCAACCCAACATAAAGTCAAAGGCACATCTAATGCCCGCTTTAACAACATCTTCTGAGCACCTTGTGCAGCAAAGCACCAACAATGTCACCTGAAGGCTTTTGTCCTACAGTTCCTGCCCTTGCTATTGTGCTCCAGGGAGCTTCGACAAGATAAGTATGGCAGGCAAGCTCTTGCTTCAACTGTGCATTCATTGCTAAATAGCCTATATTGTGAACTTATTGAAGGCTTTGAGAGTTCTGCTTTCTCCAGCATAAAAGAAAAGGTGGGAGTAGATAGCAGTGGGGGAGAGTTAGATGCATGGTTTGTTTTTTTTTTTTTTCCTTCATGAAAGACCCATGTAAGACTACTAACCTTCAGTAAAAGCTTCATAGGTCACCTGACTGCCATAGGTCCCCTCATGTTGCTGGTGGGCTGTAAAGAGCCAGGAAGGTGTAGAACTGTAAAGCCAAAGAAATCATTTCATTAGGGTTGATAAATACAGTTGAACTTCTGTGACTGCAGTATACAAGTCGAAAAACTTGTCCAGCTTCTTCTGCGAAACAGCCTCCTGCTGAGTGTCTGAACTGTATAAAAATGATGAATGGATCAACCAATATTTCTCACCTTACACAGAAACTGCAGGGCAGCTGGACAGTCTCAAGGACAATGCTTCCAGGGAGCACACTGCATGCAGCTCCTGGCCATGTCTGGGCTTGTTTGCTCTTCCTGAGCACTTTCTGTTAAGTGTTGAGTGTAGCGACTCATCCTCAGCTGTGAATTGGTGAAACTCCGCCAGAAGCATGTGCAGGTCAGGTCAGACATCAGCACTGCCTCTTATCTGCTGGCCAGCTTTCCTATCAGCCAAACTAATTTGCTAAGATAATTCTGTTTCCTGCCATCTATTACAATAAATCAACCACTGTAGCTTCATTGAATTCTCTGCCAACTGCTGCCCTTGAAATTCTCAAACAGAATGAGGGGCGGGGAGGGAAACCCGTACTCTTCTAAATATGAGAAAGTTTCAGATAAACAACTTGATATTCTGGGCAATGCTGTGTCTCCTCAGCCCCATGTTAGTGGTGAGCCAGAGTCAGTTCAGATTGGGGCAAAATCAAATGTATCAATTATTCCTTTAAAAACAAACTTTTTGAATAATGTGATCTCAGGTGGTAAAGCCTACATGTGGGTAAACACATACATGGAGAGGTGACACAGAGAGATGGAGAGCATGAGCACACTTCTGGGAAAGAGTCGGAGTAAAATTATAAGGGATCCACTGTTGTGGCTATTGAAGAAAGAAATAAGAGGTTACAATGAAATGATAACTCTCTGACAATTAATTTTGAATAGGAAAAAAATACTGAGGGTAGATGGACATCATTGAAAAAATATGAAGCATTCCCAGCATGCCTACTACAGGAGGAAGAATTTAGGAGCAAAAAGGTATTAAGATCATTCTGCCTCTTCCTTATAGCAATATTAACTACTGAGAGCACCAGTGATATTACAGCCATTTTTAAAATTAGAAGATACACTAATACACTAATATATAAGTTTGTTCAGATTAGGTATTTAATAATGCTGATTTCTTTTTAAAGAGACTTCTATCCCCCATGAAATTTCAGAATTTTTGAATTATCCTGCAGATCATCACCGGTTTTGTAATAGCTCTGCTGGCTAAAACTCAGCTGTGCTGTACCATTTAGGTTACCAAAGAGAGCCAACTCCTCAGCAACATGGTTGGGTTTGTTCAGTCAGTCATTTGGCAGAAGGATGTTTAAAAATAATTGCATATCCCTCCCTGTCTTTAAATATTCAGAGGAAAAGTCACAGAAGAACCGATAATGTAACAATAATAATGAGGCTGAAGAACAGTATTATAGTGTGAACTCATATATCCCTTGGTTTCATTTACATGTTTAGCAGCTGCTTGTTTCTCCATCACAGAAAGATCATCACCTGACTTGTAAGAAGAGAGGGGAAGTCTGTTCACCTTTGGGCAACTAGCTCTGCATTTATTAATAGTTGTTGCCCATCTCATTATACATTTAATTGCTGCATTATAATTTATTTATTCACTGATTTATTGTAATAGATGAGTAGAAACAAAATTACCTTTGCAAATTACTTTGATAGGTGGGAAATTTGCATGGTTCAAAAAAACCCAACATGCAGTGTGGAATGTGAGATGCTACCTAGTGAATAACATCTTCAAACATGAGCACTAGCATAGACAAACTGGTCTCATCACAAAGTGAAGGTAAATCCGGCCAATTTATATACTGTTTAAAAAGAAATTGCTATGTAACATATGTATAATAATCCTTATATTCCCAAATGTCTCTGCTTCATGGAACAGGGAATCAGCTGAAAAATGAAGCAGATGGAAAGAAGAGACTCCTAAAACATTAGAAAGCTAAAGGGAGGTAGTTTGCAGGGCATGTGGTGAAGCCAAGGCTGCCTTGCTGTCAGTGCAGGTGGCAGCTCCTGCCTGCAGGTACAGGCTGTCATTACGTGGGTGGGCAGGGGGTTCAGTCCCACAGCTCCCACCCCACACCAGCCACCAAATGGGGCCACAGAGAGCCAAGCATAACAAGAGATAGAAAATATACATGGAATAATTTCAGATTTCATTTAAATAATACATATAGGGAATAGTTAGAAAAACTCCAATTTTTCCCTTCAATTAATTAATTAAATGATAAAATTGATTAATGACTAACAATAACCGCGGTCAAATTTCTGTATACACAGGTCAATCCATTGCAAAACTTGACTATTAGGGCCACACAATGCAGTATATTTTTTGTTGGCCGTGGTCCTGTGCCGGAGGGAGCAGATTGCTGAGGAAGAGCCCTGGGAGAAGAGGGAGGTGCAGCCACAGCGCCGGGCTCAGCACACGTGCCCGGACCTCTCTCTCTCTCCTCATGAAGCGCCTGAAGGGTGTGACCCTCGCTGTGCTCTTTTCTGTGACGTTTGGTTTTGTGTGAAAGTTTTTGGTGTGAAAAATTGCTGCTGCCAATCGCGCTGTTCACAGTTTTCATCACCTTCCGCTGAGCGCTGCAATTGCCCCAAGATTTCCTCGGCATTTTGCGCCTCCCAGTACTATCTGCTTTAGTCATTCAAACAGGGGTGGGATCCGGCTTTCCACGGTGGGAACTTTGCCCTGTGCCACTGGGACCAGAAACACGGGCAGTGCAGATGTGATGGGACCAGCCTGCCTGGCCTCGGGCTTTGGTGCGCTGTCCGTGGGCTCGAGCACGGGGCAATTCCAGCCCAGCCGAACCTCACTGCTCTGCGCTTGGGCAGGCGCGAAGTGCACACACCTGTGAAAGCCTCACCTGCCCCTAATTGCGCCAGGCCCTAATTGCAAAGCCGGGATGACAGAGCTGGAGACGCGCGGGTCGATCCCGCGGGGCCGCAGCCGGTGCGGGCACTGCCCTCGTGCGGCGGAACGGGGGAACCGCCGGGAACGGGGACCGGCCACGGGAAGGATCGGCTTCAGCTTCTGCAAAGGCAAAGAAGGCAGAATTCCCTTTACCGGCCCTGGCAGGACTTTTTCTCATTCTTATTATTAAACTCAGGAAAATAAAAAATAAAATAATACTTAAAAAAAAAGTTAAACCTAGAAACACTGGATAGTGGTATTTTTGTATATAGAAAATGTACGTAAACCGGGAGCTCTGGATTCAGCACTGATGAAGCTACAGCATTGTCTGAGGAGGATTAGGCTGCTCACTATGGTTAGCAAAGTAGTGTACTAAGCATTTAAAAAATTAAGTCATTTTTTCCCCCGGAAAACTACAGGTAACTATAGCTGCTTTTTGGTGGTTTTCCCTTACAGTATCAGGTACTAACTGTTCAGATAGAAGTCATACTGTTAGACCTGACTGGATACAGTACAATTCCCAAGTTTCCTAGAAATGCTGAAGAGGGACTAACAGAAATGTTTAAACATAAATCCTTCTCAAAGTACGCAAAACAAGTTAGTTCACCACTGCATTCATTTTTTTCATGCAACTCCCAAAACTCCAAGCCCCAAAGAAATGAATAGAGGCATAAGAACAATATTTTTAATTAATATTAATACAGAAAGAGCACATGGTACATTCCTTTCCAGCAGCAACTCATTCAGCTCTACCATTGGGAAAAAAAAAAAAAAAGTTAAGGCTAGTTGAGGGCAACCTGATCCAACGATTTGTTTCCCTAATGCCTTCTTGGACACAGCCTTCATAAGTTTAAGAGACTATTTGTGCACAAAACATGGGATGTTTATTTAGCAAAACATCAAGAACAGATAAAAACATGCTTTGTTACAGTGGTAAAAATACACAAAGCTTTCAAGCTGCTTTTTACACCAGTTCAGTTCAGAAACCACACCGCTCCAGAGTGCAGCACGGTGTGCCTTGGTGTTGCATGGAACAGGCCATCCTCAGGGAGCGTGGTGAGCACGTTCAGCCAGTCAGTGGAGTATAAAGTGCACGAGAAAAATAAGTGCATTGAAATGAACCATTTATGATCAAGAAGAATTCTTGTTACATATAGTACTTGCTGAAAATGGGAATCTCACAGGCTGTTTAGTACAACACAGTACTACAATTCTCAAGAGCACAGAATTGGTATCACAGATATTAGAAAGACCTTTAGTTAACATAGATATCTTTGCATTTTTTTCCTCCAGTTATCTCCCCCACCCAAAGACAAGCATTCTGATGTAACTTACAGTGGGTTTGGAGGGGTAGGGGTTTGATGGTTTTTGTTTGCTTGTTTTAGTAATGTATAAGGCATCACCTTTAACTAAAGACCTTTGCTCCTTACCCTCTGTGTTTAAAATAAGCATTTAGTGGCACAGTGATTTGTTCTGTCTTGAACCCCGAGTTTTAAAAATGTGTAGCAGAGCAGGTGAGTTGTACAGGGGTGCAGGTTTTCTCCCAGTTATGAAAGATTATGTACTATGAAATGTTACATTTTTACAGGCTGTCAGGAACCATTTTGTCTGTATGTTTTCCTATTCACAGCTTAAGGCCATTGTCAGCAGTACTTATGAACCAAACCATGAAGAAATGATCTGAGAGCTATTAATTTTTGGGGACATTCATTATATAAAAAAAAAGGAGAGAGAGAAAAATTGATTGAGAGGTTTCCAAATGCATTAAACAACATAAATGTTGGTGCTTAGTCACTGGAATCTTTGGGCATTACATTTACCACAGCAGATACTTAAAATGCAGGCTTCAAAATAGCTTATTCAATTCCCCTACAAATACATGCTGAAGGCTAAAAAGCTTTCTTCCCCTTGCATATAAGTATGTAAGTTATTTTACAAGTTTCCTTTCACATTGAAATCACTTTTCTGTCTGAATACTTGTTCCTGAGAAAGGAAATAAAATTGGGGTTAGTTTCTGTAACATTTCATTTACATTGCCAGACCACCTTCAATCCAGTGCAGTACATCACACTTTTTAGATTAAAAGAAGACTGTCAAAACTTTTTTTAGTATTATAAAAGACATCTTTGCCCTCTTAACTGGTAAGCAATAAACTAAACCATATACTGTTAACTATTTATCATTTTGCAATAATCTACAGTACAAAATGCAGGCTGCAAAGCACTGCCTGCCTTTCCAAACACAGTATTTGTCACCAAGTGCGCAGTAATGAATGTTCCCTACATGTCCCACAGGAAGAGTTCACACAACTTCTCTTCCCTTGCCAGTGAAAGACCAGAAGACTGGAGGCAAGAAGCCAAACAGTTCATTCACTTCTGGTAATAGAGTATGTATCTTTGCTACAAGATTATTCATCAAGAAAACTTTAACAGGGCTGCCAATTCCATTTCTGTCCTCTGGTCATAGCAGGTCCAAGTCTGTTCTCAAAGTTCTGCCAGGAACAGGTAACTATATGTAATGTGGCTGGGGATGTGGGAAAGATGACACCAGTGGAAGATACATAAAATGAATGCACTGGGAAAAGATGAAAACAAATACAGGGCTAGAGAACAGAACAATGCAGACATTCAAACTGGTCTCATTGGTACACAGGTTTGTGCTTCTGCCTTCGTTTGCTCCTTGTTCAGAGGGGACACTTGCACCTCCTTTTGGGTTGAGTGACAGGGTTGGGCTGGGGAAGGGATCAAACAGGGGCTCAAACCTTGTGGAGAGCGAGTTGAGTCCATTGTATTACTATTGCATTTTTTAACAAGTCCCCTCAGCCTTTGCTTTCCAAACAGCTCTAAAAACATCACTGGAGGGACCTGGAGGCTGTGGCCAATCTTCCTCTTCAATGCAGAGCCAAGGGTGGGCCACCACACCTTCTGCTTGGATGACCTAAGTGGTCTCTAGTTCACGTCAATGAGCACAAGCTGCCAAGCCAAGGCCTGCTCTCTTTACCTACAAGATGCTTCCAGGGCATCTTTGCCAACACATCCCAGCTGCTGTCCCCAAGCATAATGGGATGTACCTGAGGAAGTGCCCATGGACACTAACCAATCCATTGACAGATGGTGAGAGAATCCATCACCTAAAGCTTCGCTGAATTTTTCCAGGAGAGAAAGAGGTCAAGAGCTCAGGGCAGTACTGAAACAAGAGAGTTTTGCCAAGGAGCACAGACTAGATAAACAAGGCAAGGGAACGGGAAAGCCAAGAGACTCATAGAGGCAAAAGCAACAGTTACACTTCTAATAACTTTGTTGCTCTTGAAAGTGAAAAATTAGAGCACACTTCATGCAATAGCTAATGGAACAGATCAACCCCTCAGCAGCCCTTGCTTTACACCGATTAGTCCTTCAAGCAGTTTTCAAATCTCTCTCTAGTGCTGTTCTGTGGTAGTGTCTCCCAAAGAAAGATTACAAGTTTTCCAAGAAAAACAAAGTAACCACATTTTCTACAAGGGATCAGTCTCCATTGCCTTTAAAACAGTGGCTTTTTCAAAGTTTTTCCTCTGTTATATTTTGTTATCTTTCCTTCTATAGACTTGACCCCCAAAGGAAATTTCCATATAAAACATCTGAAGAGTTGAAAATGTACAGTTCATATATATGCAATTTATACAACCAGATGGTACTGTATATATATAGTTGCATGTTTGCTAGTCAGTGTAGACAGAAGTAGCTAAAAGGCAACTAAAACAACATTATTTCATTGCAAACAGGAACCAAGAGACTTTGAAGTACAGTATTTTACATTAACACAGGTTTTGCAGCTTTTCAAGTTAGTTTTCATCAGGTACTTGGTATACAGTAAAATTCTGATCTACCTTTATTTATAGTTTCCTCTTTCCAGGCAGAGATTTTTAATATTCTCTTTTTAATATTAGTAATCCTGAAATGAAGAGTCAGATGTATAACACATTCCCAGCCAGTAGCTTAATGTACTGTAGAAAAGTCAGTTCTGTTTACCAAGGACTAGAATCCACTTCAGTAACATTCCCTGAGGCAATCCACTATTTTATTGTTTTGTCCTGGAATCATTTGTGTATAGTTGCTGTTCTGTTCCAGACTGCTTTGTTTCTTTAAAAATAGACACTTAGAAAAAGACATCTGTTAACTTTCATTGCTAATTTTATATTTCAGCAATTATGCTTCCCCTTAATACCCTCTCTCTCCTCCTGTTTTTCCCCTCCAAAAACTGCAAGTTAACGACACAGCAAGTCTGTGTTCTTGATTTTCACCAGACAGGAATTCAGATTTTTAAATGAATGTTAATTTTTGGAACTGAAAAGAATGTAGCAGATAACAGAACAAAATTAATATGTAACGAACAGTCTAAAATTTATCTTACTAAAACTGAAGTTATTCTCTCTTTGAGAGAAGAATCTGTGACACTAAAAAGATAAAGGGTGGGGAAACGGGGTAGGGGTAGAGAAACACATGAGAATCATCATCCCTGTCCACAGACACACACTGAGCACGCACACTGTGTATCCTTACATTCCCAATGGACTAAGGAGATTTCTCCTGATAGAATTCCACCTTTAACATTTCAAAAAAGCTTGTGTATAATCAATGCACTTAAAGCTTTAAGTTTTAGTAACTTAACTTTGTTTATAAAACAAACACACACAAGCACACTTCCTAGAGTGCAAAATGCTTAAGATACTTCAGTTACAGAACTCCATGTGTAGTTTTTGGGACAGTAAATCGTTTTTGCTGTCATAGTCAACTTCTTCCATTGCCAGCAACGGTTGCATTGAAACTAACCCAGAACGCAGCAAACACAACAGTGACCCCTGACTGTCTCTTCAGTTCCGCAGAGATCCCTGTTCATTTGTACAAACTCATCGTTGGACTTTGATACATGCACATGTAAGCATCACAGAGCAGTCTTCGTGCACATCCTTGGATTTTTCTGGAATCCAGTGAGTGTAATTCTTCTAGAGACATCTTCAGATATTCGCCAACTTCTGGACATGGGGTAACTTGTGGAATGTTGAAGCCATTCTGACCTCCTTTTAAACCATAAGGAAAGAAGGAGAAACGTATTAGGATAGCATCTGCATATATCTGCTCTTTATCATGTACTTTAATTATGACAGCATCACTAGTTCTTGAAAATGCCTTCTAAAAAGCCTAAATATGCCCCTTTGGACATATTTAGGTAATACCTGCAGGGTAAACTTCTATAGAAGGTGCATTGTTCAAGAAATCACAATTAATGTCAGAATATCTTGTAGTGTTTACTAACAAACCACACACACAAGCACCACAAAAACCCAAGGAGAACTTTCGGTTTTCCTTAACACTAAAAATTCTGTATGACTTTGGGAGAGTGACCTGAATACATAATCCATCTCTAATGCTACTGAACTTGTTAATAACACAACTGGTAACAGCTGATGAATTTACAAACCGTGTCTCTACCTGACTTGGAACACTAAGCCAGAGTTTACTCCTGGCCATTTTCCACATAAAAGTGAGTAAATTCAAACAACACAAGTATGGACATCCATCTTGCAGTTCCCAGCAGACATTTTTAAGTTATGAAGAAAAGCTGAAGCAAAATATCTGTGATACAAAAAACCTCTCCCTAAGATCAGCATGATATGTATTCAGCACCTCATGGGATCTAAATTCCAAAAAACAAAGACTTCAGTCATACACATTTCAAACACTGTGAAACAAAGCTTGATTGTCTTATAGTTGGTAATAAGAAAGTGACTTTAATCCTGTAACAGTTTCATTTTCAACAGGAGGCCAAACCACACTAAGGCAAGGGTTCAAGAATTCTTCATGCAAAAATTGTTACTATGAGTCTGACACTTCATCTATTACTGTTTTTCTCAGGCACCAGGATTGAACAGAGTCCTCATTTAAACAGTATCTGTTTAAATAACAGTATCTAAGAGACCACTTGTTTTACTGACATTTGTATTATTACAGGGTAACAATGTTCCACTGATAACTCTAAAGAGATTCAAAGGAATGGCGTAGATGTTGTAATGTGTGACTATTTCTTTTATTCTAAAGATATCTACAGTAAGTTATTTAAGAAAAGGCAATAAAAATATTTTCATACTGTCTGATGATCATGTACATCCATTTAAATATAGACTGAAAATACATTCCTGCAGTTGATTATTTAGGTGAAATCCAGATTAGGCAAATCTCAGCAGCTGCCATGAAATCAATGCGCTGAGGAAAGGCTGGATCAAGATTAGTAGCCCAGCACTGAGTACATCAAGTTAAACGATATTAATATCCCCATAGCTTTAAGAAATAGTCACTGAAATCTAAAACACACTTAAAAAAACTAAGAGAAGGTGAACAGAGTAAATAAAAGATCTACCATCCCGATCTGCCATGCTGTCGAAGAAGAGCCAGGCGGAGTCATCCCTCCCATATTTCACAAAAGCTACGTAGTGGCTGGTTTCGATGCACAGAACTGCAAACAACTCCATCTTCTGGGAGGGGATGCAGCCGTGCCGCCAGTCCCAGTCTGGCAGATCCTTGGGAAGTGACAACGGATTGAATTTATGACTCTGTCTCTTGGGATGAAGATGAACCTACAGTTGAAGTGATATTTCAGAAAAGGAAAAACGCCCCATAAGATTATTTGTTTCAGTGGCAGACAAAGCTAAAAGGAACATTGCTGCTGAACAGAAGATTAATGGCATTAGAAAAGGAACTGCAATAACAGTAGCTGACTAAACATTTCTTCCAATTTTCTCCACCACTGTAGTTCAACGCTGCCCAGAAAATTCAAAGTTAAGGTTAGAAGGGAGGTCAGGTTTAATGCAACAATTTTCTACTACACTCAGACTTGAAAACAAGCCATGATTGACATCTTTATGCAATTACCAAACAGAAACTAAGCAGTTCTATGTCATGAATTTATCAGCTCTAACAAGGGGGTGTGTACATAAATTAGGATTTAAAGCAGACAGTTACTATCTCTCCACTGTGTCCAGTCCTAGATTTGACAGTTGCCATGTTGACAAACACATTGCAGGAGTTCCTGATTTGTCACCAAAGGAGACACTTTACTGGGTGGATGGCAGTGACAGTAGTGCTGATGAAGAAATCTCACTTACCCCTTCCTTTCAGCATAAACCACTCGGGTTAAACCCACAGAGAATAACAAACATAACCACTTACTTGTGTATTGCATGTTTTGCAGAACTGCTTGATTTTCCCAGCAGAAATATCAGTGTCTTCATAACATTCTCTGCACTCATACATAGCGAGCCCTCCACATATACGGCACTGCCTGGGAGCTGCATTTTTAAAAAAAGATATTAAGTCTCCAATTTGGGGAGGCTTTTTGTATTTTGTTTGGGGTTTTTTTAAGACAAGGAGTAGGAAAAGGAAGGAGAAATATTACTTTAAATAGAGAAAAACAATACATTAAAAAAATCTTGGTAAATATTTATTAGAAAAAAAAAACAACATCAAAACTACCAGGAATAGTTACTTTCACTGTTTTAGTCACTCTCAGCAACTCTCATTACATAATGCAATTTTATATACTTACTATCTTCAAGTAAGTCTGTTATATTTAATTCCAAGGATGGAAAAATTTTATTGAACATTTTGAAGTCTTTTCCAAACCGAGGCATCTGGATAATCAGGCAAGAGGGTGCCTAGGTAAAATGTCAAAATATAATGTAATGAGCTTGAGATAAATAATTATCTAAATTTAGAGACATACTTCTACTGTTATAAACGTATTCATGTTATTTAAACTTGCAGTCCATTGTCAGAGATATCTCAAAGTATTAATCCTTAGAACAACCTACTGCTAGTAACTAAGAAGTTTGCTTTCAGTAATTCTTTGCCTAAATCCCTTTGGTCTGTTCAGCCAAAGGAGACATGTCATTAAGTCAGCCTTAAAATATTTTTGTTATGTAGGCATCCTGGACAACCAGCATAGCATTCCCATTTCCAACATGTCCACATGTTTTTACACCAAATCCTACTTTTGTCCCACTGCTGAATGGGCAAATATCTAGGTGTCATCACAGCTGTCACCAACCTCTGCAAACTTCAAGTTGCTGTTGATGAATGACCACTCGAGTAACTGCTGAATTGTTGGGACTCCAACTTTCTCATTTTTGTCCATAAAAATTTGATAGAAGTAACAGTCTTGTACTTTCTGACCTGCTGATCTAAAAACAGATAAAAAAAAAAAGAAAACAGATTCTGAAGCTCTACTGTAACCACTGTACTTTACTAGGATAATAACATCTATGAGAATATAGTTTATAAAACATCCTCTCTGCATTGAAATATATTGTGCTTTAGGAAAAAAAACAAACAAGCAAACCCAAACAAAACACAATTTCTCCCAACAACAAAGTGCCTCAGATGACAGGCAGTCAAGTACTAAGTGTGGACTGATTTTAGGAAAACTTAAAGAAACCAAAGCAGTGTAAAATCCAGTGACAGTGTCAGAGCTCTCATCTCCACAGAGCACCACAGTGGGCACAGATAGACCTCACACAGCACAGTAACAGAATTCCTGAAACGAGGAAAGGACTGAAAAACTACAGAAAATGCTTTGTAACAATGCTGTTACCACAGAATGCAGCAAGGAACCTGAGAATATCAGGTGCCAGCTAACAGGACAACAGCACTGGGCAACAGTCCCCACTTCACTTAAACTCAGCTATGACAGCTGAACCCTGGTAGTGCTACAGCTGAGAATGAATCCATGCATAAATGCCAGCATCTGTTATTTTGATAAAGTAAGAGAACCAAACTTGATCAAGGCAAACAATTGAAATATTTTCATTAGCCTAACAGAAGAAATGCAAATCAGTTTCTACAGCTCACACACCGACTCAGCAATCTGTGCAGCTTGTCCCAGAAAAACGGAGCTGTAAGCTGCAGGCTACATTAAGAATTGCTGCAGGCCCTCTTACAGCAGCCCTTCTCCAGCATAATTAACAGAAAGGCAGTGAGGATCTCAAGACAGCACTAGGACACAGGATCTCTGTCCAGCTCTCATGAAACTACGCTCATGAGCTTGTGCAACAACATCAGTATGGCAAAACCTACCTACCAAAAAAGGGTAGGAAATAGTGTCGAATTAGTCAACATAACTTTACTATATTGAATCCTATTAGCAATTCTCATCACAAGTCGAAGGTGTTTTAAGAGTTGTCTCAGTTTGAAAGGCAGCAGATACTTTGTATCAGCCTCTACAAATGTTTGAATTTAGCAAAGAAAAAAGATTCACCTTATTTTCAACAGTGGTTCAACTCTTAGAATATGGTGAAATAAAATATTCAAAAATTCTTCTGGATCTGGAGGGGAGAAAGAAAAAAAAAAGTTTTGTTAGCGTACAAAACCAGCTGCCTTATTCAAGACTCATTTACAATGAAGGTTTTCAAAATTTTCACAGGAAAAAAACAGTTAAAAAAATCACAGTCAATTTTTATAGCTTTCTTAATACAGTAAGATTATGACAAACTACGAACATTTTCATGGCAACCTTCCGTTTATTCTTTTGGTGTCAAAAGGCTCTAAGAAAAGGTACAGGCTCAACAGGGCAACAAAAGCTTCCCAGTAAAGATCAAAAAGATGCTCTGTCTTTCAGAGGAATCATTTGGCACCACACAACTTTTCTAGGAGAAATAAAAGCTTTCAAAACAGAACAGTGAATCTGCAGAGGAGCAGTCAGGAGCAGTGACAGTAACACATAAAACCCACTCCATACTACAGAGTTCATCTAAACTAGAGACTGAGTTCTCTCATCAAGAATGCAGCCAACAGTAGCTTCCCAGAGGGTCATTCTCCCAACACAGTTTGCTGGTGTATTAACTGCAATAAATACTGGTTTCCAGTGTTCAGTATTTACAAAGAAAGTAGCAGAAACAGCTACATAATATAATTCAAATTAATCACTATATGCAGCAGAAGATCAAAAAGTTGAGAACTGATGTTTTCTAATATGATTTACACATTTTATTTTTTAAAATAAAAAATAACCATTGTAACAATGAAATGTTGGTAGTGAAAAAGTTTATTCCTCATGGACCAAAGGGACATTTTGAAAGAGGACAAAGACCCCAGCCTTATCACAGTCTTCTCCCCTAACTGCTAGAAGGGTGTTACAGAGGCACAGGAAGGCAGTAAAAGAAATCCAGGCAGTGAAAGACTTTTACAGAAATTGTTCAGTCAGGGCTCCTTACATTCTCCAGGAAGCAGAAAAGACCCTTCTACCAGCCAATGGTCACTCAAATTTCTGGTAGAGATCCTGCTACTACAAGAAACTATTTGGGTGTTTTGTTCTGATATAATTACATAGCAAGGTATTTCAGTTCTTTCATATTAGGATTCTGACAAGTCTCAAAGAAAGGAAAACCTCCCCAGTTACCTTTTTCCTCTGAAGTGAATCCTGAGGCAGCCTCCACTTTTTCAAGTATTTTCCTCAGTTTCATTATTTTTGTAGCACATACATATCCATATCTAGGATAAATGGGTTTAATAAGCTATTAGCTAGTTTGTGATTAAGTCAGAGAAGCACAAAAAATCCCACCCTCTTAAATGCTGAAATACAGGTTCATAAATCCTTCTTTAATCGCATACAGTATTTCTTTAAAACTATGTGCTGACTTCTCATATTCAATCTGACTTCCAGATTTCTTAATGCAGGATAAATTTAGTGCAGTGCTCAATGTTCTTTTATAGCCTTTAAGAGCATCTTTAATCATCATCTTACCAGGATAACTGTTTTCTGATTTGTCAGTCAATTACTTTTGATTTGTTTTCACTCTAATTTGCACCATTTAATATATCATTTTCAAAATGTCACATAATAACAGCACTGTGGGATTTGTTAATAAAAACAAATTTCAATATTTGAGCAAAAGATACGGAGCTGTATTGCTGACCTAAGAAGCTGAGGTTTTGAGCATTCAGTATTCTCGTCTGAAGTTTTAAGCATTGTAGAAAGGTAATAACACCTTCTGGTCTTCCCAGCCACCTGAGATTTCTGCTACTTAGTGTGTATCCTGCTATCCTACCCCTAGCACAGAACCCTGGAATGCACCAGGAAAAGTACACACACTCTTACAAGAACAAAGGTTCAGAGGCCAACATTTTATTTCAGGAATCAAAATAAAACTTTTGTGATAAAGCCCACCGCCCACAGAATTTCAGAACCATATTGTTCGCACGTTTAAAAAGAATTAAGCTTAAGAAAAGTAACATTTAATGTAGATTTTTGCTGCATGTCCTTTTCTCATTGTGCCTAAGAAATTACAAAGTTCATTTGAAGTTCCTTTAAAAAAGTTTTGACCACTTTCAGACCACATGTAAAAAGTAATGATATTTTAAAGCCCTGCCAATTCCATTAAATCATGAAACAACCATGTCAGATAACCCACATATTTTTCTTGTCAAGTACAACAGCATTAAAACATGTAAATAAGAATGTTGTGAACGAACTTAACTTTTGTTTATCAATGCTTTTTTATTCATATTTGTATAAATTTTACAATAGTTTTATGCTGATCCTATTTCCAAATAAGAGACTAGTGAAAATATTTTATGACCAAACAATGAATAACTATTTCTATTTAGCCCTGATTGAATTTATCATGAAGAACAAGAAAAAATACTAATAAAATAAATCGAATAGAGTGGCATCAGCAGGCAGCCAGACTGCTCAGATTTGCAATAGGAATGCATACACAGTAGGATCTCTCTAATTTATATTAGATTAGAGACCAGTTCATGTCTTTACTTACATTCTCAGAGGATTCACAATTTCTGTCCGCAACAGCTCTTGAGTCTCACTATAATACTCTACATCATTCATTTCTTTAGGTCTGAGTAACACAGTGTCCAAAACAGAGCTAAAAGAAAACAGGCTACAGAGAAAAAAGGAAAAGGAAGGTTTTTTTACCCTGAAACATATGACCGTTCAGATGTCTGAGCAATGTAAGACAAAGCAAGCAAAGCCACATAAAAATTAAAGAACTAAAATTTCAAAAGCAGTAATTATGGACAGGGGACAACACAGCTGTACTAAACAGCAAAAACCCACTCTAACCATTATGCTTTCTGCAGCGAAGTACAGAACCAGTTGCCCAGGCAGGATTCTACAAATAAGCTATATGGGGTACTTCTCTCCCTCCTTCCACCCCCAGCCTATGCTGTCTTTCATCCTTCAACCATTTACAGGGCAGGGACTCCCTCAGTCAAACTGAGCAGATACAGAAGGGCCAGAGCAGCTGGAACAACATTAGCACAGTAAATGCTGCAGAACTTGCTCCCACTGGAAGAGCACAGTAACATGTCAGGCTGCAGCCATGACATGGGAGCTGCACAGTAACACACAGACAGTCATCCAAACACATGTTCTGCATTTCTAGCATGGGATGCCACTACACAAATTATGAACTTACCAGAATAAGGTGGAGTCTAAGTAACAGGAGTTGTAATGACCCTGGATACCTTTCTTCTTTCCAATCATTGTCTCTAAACCTTCTTTTTCCATTTTTGGAGGAGTGTTTTCTTCTACCACTTCACTTAAGTAACCTCCAAAGGCTGAAATTTTTTTTTTCAAAAGACACTTTAAAGCCTCAAATTTTATTCCCCCTTGAGATTTCCCTATTAAATGTTTTATAGCTAAGTTGCTGCCTTAGTGTAAGCATTCCTTCTCTGGACTAGAATAGCATTTTATTATAGCTGAAACTCAGTGTTCCAGAGAGTGAACGAGGCCTTACATTCCACTGGCAATGCACATTAGAGTGCTTCGGAAAGCCTGCAGCACTGAATTAATTTTATCCAGTAGGAATGAAGTTCTCTTTTCATTACAAATGCCCTGTTCACACTATCTTACAAGTATCAGACACTTTTCTTTGCTGGGTCCCCAGCATGACCCAAGAAACCTAAAATATTTGAAGTTAGGAAAAAAAAAAAGTTTTTCACCACTAACTTCTGCCATATAAAAACATGCTTTTTTATGTTAATATTTAGAAAATATAATTTTATGCTATATAGAAAAATAGTTGCCTTTATTTGTGACAATGCAATCACACATTGCTGGAGTTGCAAATACCATTTTCAGCAAGACTGCTTTTCAACTTCTGAATGTAAAAAACATACAGCATAAAAAATCCCTTTTATGAAATTTCTTTAAATATATGAACATTTTCTTGTTTTAAAGCATCAAAGAGTAATTCACAGAATTGCTGTATTTTGTACAGGCTGATCTTCTATTCATTAATCTCATTTAAGTAACACCTGTACAGATTCTCAAGTGTTCAACACAAAGAACTTATTGCAGGAATAAATGAAACCAAAACCCTGGTCAGTTCCCAGTTGATAAACAAGAAATAAGCAGAAGGTCAGTACCTAGAGAGTTGCAGCGTTCAATCTGGTTGGAAACAGGCTGCAGTGAGGCAAACCTGGAATCTGGCCTGCAGCTTTTGAGCTTAACAAAAAGAGCTTTCTTTGGAGCACAAGTGAAGTATCGAGTTCCTTTAAACGTTCCGTCCGTGCAGCCTGCACATTCATCTTCCTGAAAATTCAAGTGAGAATTCACTATTTTTCTTATTTCTAGAATTCTGCAGTAAGTCATTTGATAAAATATCTATCCACAAGTCGCCCCTCAGGTACTCTCAAACGTGATATACAGTGTTTCTGCATTTTAGTATACAAAGCTTTGACTGAGGTATTGTTTAACTGGATTTGCTGAGGAAATTAGGAGCTGCAGGGTTGGTATTTTTTCATGCTTAAACTTTTATCAGAAGCAGCTTGGGGAGGTGGGAGGGGAGACCCAGACTGGGTTCCTTCTGTAGTTAGAAAGAGTACACATGCAGTACTGAGCACCTTTTACAACTCAGTTAAAATCAGTAAGCATTGGGTAGCGTGAATACTCTGTGTGACTGTGCTGCACGAAAAAAAATGCCTGCTTTGGAACAGACAAAATGCACATCAAGGACAGACAACACAAACCAGGTATGAACAATAACAAGTTATTATCTTTGAGAACATGATTTAAGGTATATTGTCTACTGCTAGGCTTTAATGTAGAAATGCATGAGTGGCAACACTCAACACCCTAAGGTGCAGTCTCAGAACACCTGTGGCAAACTGTGGCTTCCAACTTCATCCAAAACACCCATAAAGATTTTTTGTAACAGCTGGAATTCCAGTCACATTCTAATCTACTTTGCCTGTGTTTTACGTAATGGTACAGTGTTACGTGAAATTTTATTGAACATTATCCCAAAATAAAGAATCCCATCTTCTTAATTGAGTACACATTAATTTAACTGACAGCCAACCACAACCTTGGCAGCAGCTGCCACAAAGAAATGTCAGTGCAGAACAGCAATTCATGTTTGCAGCAACTGAGCTTTTCCAAGGGCCCAGAGAAACACGTAAAGCACGTGGCTGTCAAATCAACCATCACTACTGTCAGTTATCAAAACCAGTGTTATGGCTCTGACAGTCATAACTCTGCCTGTTTGCTGGTATGCAAAAAAACAAACAAAAAAGTGATACTCAATAAAGACTACTACAGCCAGGGCATTTCACACAAATTTGCATTTCAAAAGACCTTTAAATATGGTCAGTTTTTTTCAATTACAATCTCAATAATGTAAGCAAAGGACACTCCTTTAAAGCAAGGAAGTGATCAGTCCCATAAATTCAATGACCCATTGTAACACAATCACATCTCAGAGCCTCTTAACAGGGTAAGGTCTGGGACAGCCACAAAAGTCAGAGCTCATGGAAGAATTTAGCTCTAAGGACATCACATGGAAACCTGTTTGGGCAAATCCCCCCAGACTGGCTGCTTTTGCAACATATACAGGGACCAGCTCTGAGAAACAAAATTAGTAATTAACACTAATATGAACTACAATTTATATTTACCAGTTCCAGTCCAGCCAATACTTCATTTACTCCAGGAGGCTGGCCAATCCAGCGGATTACTCCATAGAAAGGAGGATTTTCTTTAACTTCAGCCAAGGAACCTGCTTCAAGACCATGTGAGTTCCCAACTGGGCTTGCTGCTGATGGACTGTCCTGGTTAGCTGCAGTATTCACGTCACCCATGACTGACTGGACAGATAAAGAGAGAGGACTGTGTCCCATAGTACCATTTGTACTTGTTGCTTTTGTCAAGCTAAAAGGGAGGGAGTGAAATCTGTTTTCTGTAGACACAGAGTTTGTTAAAGGTGGCTGCAGTGGTGGTGAAGAATGCCCAAATCCAGGAGATGAATCAGTAAGTGATTTTGCAGGGTCTTCAGTAGCTGTTAAAATCAAAACCAAGATGTTAGTAAGTGTTGGGGTTTTTTCCCCCATCATAAAAAAGGAAAGACTTGGCTCTCAAACCAATGAAGTGCAACCACATCTGATTTAACAGGTGACTGTACAGGAAGCACTAAGAGCTGGGGAGGGACATTTAGGAAGACATTTGTCACTTGGCAACACTGGAGAAACAGAACTACCTGAGGAGACATTTTTAAGGTTCATGGAATTCAGGGGCTACTGCTGCAATAGTTTCCATTGTAAATTAACATTACTAGTTTAGTCTTTACCCCTTCAGTCACTATGCTAGCCAGCTACACTTTTCTAAAGTTTATGAGCAAAAAAAAAAAAAAAAAATAGGTCTGGAAGCAAATCAAGATACTGATTCTTTAGGCATGTGCACTTATACTTCTAAAAAACTCATAAAGAGATTTTACAGAAATAACTTTTAAAAATACTGAAAAAAACATGTATACTTAGTCAGATTATTTCACCCTCTCCACTTCCAGACTGATTAGCTGGCATGGCAGAATAGTTCCCTTAGATCTGTAACATTAGCTACAAAGACAGTCAAAATACAATTACTCTGTATACTTGGCTATAAGGAATATCTTCATGTCTTCCATCAAGCCTCAGCTTTTATTTTGCCTGCAAGACATATGCATTCCCACAGAGCTGCACATACATTGCCAAGAATGTAATCTCCTACATGCAGAATAAAACCACAGGTCACATTAAGACAGAGAACACTTTCATAGGCGTTTCAAGATGCTTTTTATGATATAGTATGTCTTCCACTAAGACAATACAGTCCAACTGTTTTATATTTAATCTCGTATTTGTTTTATTTGAAGAACATAATACACTCTAGTTTTGTTCTGTGGAGTTTTTTTTAAATAAAGTATATGCCTACATGAAGGCATCTCTCTTTACCTTCATCAATATACCATGGGGGTTTTGTTTTTGTTTGAGGCTGAGAGTCAACTGATGAGCCATTTAATGTGTAGAAGACTTCAGATCTGCTTCTATTTCCAGGTTCAGAGGTAGATCCTGGAAAACAACATACTTTAATGAAGAGATTATTCTCTACTTAGAAAAGGTTACCTACACTCTTATTTCATAGTATAAATTCATTATTACACTTTCAAAAAGACCCAACTGCCTTTGCACAAAGCAAAAATCTCTCCCATCAAGCCTAACACAGTTCTAAGCTTACAAATCTACACCAAAGCAACTTAATCCTCCAAGCTGAAATTTCAAGTCCCCAACCTGCAAAGAAGGCAGAAGACACTTCCCAAGTGCAAATTTTTCATGACTATAAATTATGGATATAAGAAAATATTTGTGATACAGTGTACAGCAGGTAGTACCACAGGTAATTTTTTGGTTTTAAAGCGCTAAAATTTCACAGTAGGCAAACAGATTACTGATCCAATGGCACACAGCTATAACTCCTGCCAACATATAAGCACAGTTACTTTAGTGAAGATCATCTCTGTCAGCATCCAATGCCAGAAAAGACAATACTCTTCCCCAAGCAATAAGAATTTGCAATTCCTACGTAAGTAAAGAAAATCCCTTCCCATACATACCTGTAGCCTTTGGCTTACTGTGATTGAACACACTTTTGTCACCTCTTGAGGTATAGGCAAGCTTGGGAGGTCTCCTGTCCTGTGACACAGTCTCTGAGACATGATATATGAAGAGAGTATTAGCTTCCCTTTGCTACATTTTTACTGTGTTACAGAGAAGTTCAACTCCAAAGGTAACTGAACAAAGGTCTGTCATCATAAGCTTTAAAACTGAGTGGAGTAAAACCTTGCTTGGCACATAACCAACATTTTATGTGTACAGGATTTGCTTCTATCACATCAGCAATTACTTTGCTCTGAAGTCTGCCATTACTTCATGAACACTTCAATGTATGTGCATATTTCCACTACAGGAAACAGACCCATGAAATTCTAAACTTTATTTTCTACCAACACACAACAAATGCTCTTCTCCCAAAAATGGAGTCCCTATGAATTCTTCAGAGAAGAGAGGAAAATTCATGCAAAAATCACACAACTAAACCAGCTACTAGGAGATGAACATAAATCAAATTGAAGAGCAAGGGCAACAGTTACAGACTACACACTCATTAGCACCTGTCTACAGACACAGCCCAAGCAAAAGTTAGTTACTTATAAACTTGCTTTCTTCCGAAAAGGGATCAGGGGACTGTAGTTGTTACAAGTTAACACTATTCCATGAATTACTGCCGTGAATTTTTCCACAGTCTTGCTATGCATTTTAAAGTATTTACCCATAGACTGTACACATAATACTATCGATACCTTTCCAGCACAGAAAGAACAGCTTTCTGATCCAAAGTATTTAAACTCCTGGAGTAAATTTAACAAGTCTATACAAAAGATTCCTGCTACAGACACTCACATATTCACTAATATTATGTAACTCCACAGTTCTGTAAACACTATACTATTTGACAGGAATTTTGTTCAATATTAAAGTTTTTCTACTAGTGAGACTATAATGCAAAGGAGGGGAAAACTGAAGAGAATTATAACACTGAAGGTTAAACTAATTCAAGTGAATTTAGGATACTAACTTTGCAGTATTGCTTTAATCATATAACTGTGCCTAGGTGGAGATATTATCAAAGTCTGCCTTCTGGTTAAGAAAGCTGGGCATACCTGGAATAACATCATTGATATGCAAAAGAAGTGTACTTTCAACACTTGCAAAACTGCACAGCTGTATTCCATTATATCTTCCATCCCAGTTTCCAATCGGATTATCCTAAAAATAGAAAAACATGTTACACGTATCCCAAGAGAAGATTTACATCATGCAGAATGCACACATATGTCTTTAGGAATACAAAAAGTAGGAAAATGAAAGGTTTGACAATGTCTACCTTTCCCTGTAACAAATTTTATATTTAGAACACTCAAACATTACAGTCTTTAAACACAAAAGCAAACTTAAAACCTGCTATTTTGAGAAATATTTCCTACTTTAAAAAGCATTCCTCTACTAAAAACTATTATTGATAAACAAATTAGAACAACTTCAGTGCATTGTTAGGGAAAAGCTACTGCAACCAAGAAAATGGAAGCATCTGTTCTACAAAACCAAAACATAATCTTGAACTACTAAAAATTTGAAAGTTGTCCATTTCAAAAAATTAAAGTTGCTAGAAATATTTTTTAATTACAAGCTTCACATTTTCTTGAAAAATCAAGCTTTGTACTTGAAACTCAATGCTTTTAAGGTAGAATAAAGTCAAGCAAAAAAAACAGTAACATGAAAAAAAGCTTTGAAAAACAGCTAACAAAAGAAAAACACATCCAGCCCACTTTTTTAACAGGCAGAACAAAGCCAGTCTCACAAGACAAACACTCAGCTCTATGACTTCAAGACTGATACCTAACATGGCAAGTAGCTCAGTGGAGGCTCCTCAGAATAACCAGAGTATTTCTCCTGAACTCTTTAGCATCAAATAGGATATCATTTACCTCATGCCAAGAAACAATTACCACCAAGGGGCATCTTTGAACACAAGTGTTTATTTCCCATTTTAGGTCAGCCTCCGCTGAAGTAGCTTGTGGGATAATGTTTCTTCTTCTAATTGCATGTCATTTACTAGCTAACACACATGCAGAAGTTATTAAAGTCAGATTATTTTCTTACCATGTCCACTCCAACAACGTATCCTAAACTTTCGTTTCCTGGTAAGACATCACAGAATATAACTGTCCCATACTCTATACTCTCTCCTATCTTCAGAGAAACCCTGGAGTTGATCTCCAGAGGAGGAAGTTCTACCTGCATTGCGTCAACTGGAGCTGCATAGTCACTTTCCAGTTCATTGTCATCATCTTCCACCAGCTCCAGTTTGTCCAAAGCAACAAAAACCCCACAGTCCTCATCGCATCTGAAAAGCTGCTTGCCTTGGTACTGCCCATCAGTAAAGCCCTGACCGCGACCTTCTTCCTGGGTGTCGGAGGAGGAAGATGGGGGGGGAAAGAAAAGAATAAAAACCAAGTGTATTTTGTGCAAAAGCAGACTACTAAAAAAGCAGTAACATAATCCAGTGTTTTGGACAAATCTTACTAAGAATTTGCCTGGTGAACTGCCTTTATATTGTGAGAATTCTATTGTCAGAATTTGTGACAAATATAAACACTGGCTATCTTAGGAGAATAAAGAGCAAGATGTCATTAGATTAGAGAGTAGCTGCAGGCAGAAGCCTTTTTACTTGGCTTTACATATTTTCTTCAGATGCAAATCTTGCTTCCATCATCAAATTTTTGCCATATCAAGACAAGACTACTTCATACTAGACATAATGCTAAGCATTCAAAAATTCCACTTATACGCCAAATAAAGAAATGATTTTCAGAAGCACTTAGGCCTGATATTCCCTGAGGTTCTCAGTGGGAATTGCAAAGTTTGGGAAAAGTTTAAAGAGTACTTTGAAAAACATACTTCTAATACAGGAGGAGCACTCTCCTGAACCTAATCCTTCAAAAGTTTATGGCTGGCATTAATTTTGCACACAATAGCTACATTCTCTATCTTAACTAGTTGCCATTTGACTTTCAGGGATCCAGAAAAACAGCAACCCTAAAATCCAAGCCTGCATTCATGGACCATATCCTGACACGTTGGGGGAAAAACAAAGTACTCAACAGAAATCTGAAAGTCACATATGCACCACAATGGGAATGTAAATAATTTTGTCTAGAGAAGTTGTAGATGGTCCCTCCCTGAAAGTGTTCAAGGCCAGACTGGATGGGGCTCTGAGCAACATGGTCTAATGGAAGGTGTCCTTGCCCGTGGCAGGGGTTGGAACAAGATGATCTTTAAGGTCTCTTCCAACACAAATCATTCTGTGTTTCTATGAATTAAATTTTTCTAGGCTAGAAGGAGTCAGAGTACATTCAAGTCTTTCTGCCAGCCCAGGCACCTCATCAAGCTTCATTTAACATGTAGAATACAAGGCTGATGTGATATGGCATGTTCATGGGTACTTAATAAACAATACTTATGAAAAGACTGAAGGTAACAATTTTCAGGGGTAACTATGCTTCTAGAAAATAAATTATTATTACTTCCTCTTCACATCGAAGACTTTTAGTTCATCTTACAAAGTATAAATATGATGCTACCCCTTGGCAAAAGACTTACCAGCAACTCTACTCCAAAGTATATCCCTGTGAGGGACCTTTCTTGCATTAAAGGTCCTCTGAAGCGAACAACTCCAGGAAACTTGTCATCTCCTGACCTCAGCTGTACTCTAACAGGGGAGCCAATATCTATTTGGATGCCTTTAGCTAACCTGCTTTTGCTTTTAAACAGACTGTATCTTTCCTCACAGTTAGTAATAGCTAAAAGCAACTCGGCTAGTTTTTCATTTATTTCTATAACATCCTTCTCATCCACAAACAGGATTGCATGAGGTTGTTCCAGAATCTTTAATCCAATCTGCAGTTTCTTGCCTTTACAGGGAATATTTCTGGAGTGTCCCACAGAAGAACGGTCTTGGAAAAACTGCCCGATGCTACCTTTGGGCACCTTCAAGAGCTTTTGGGTCTGCTTGTCTATGACGCTGCATTCCTGGAGAAGCAAGTAGAAGATCCGCTCCTCCCAGTAGGATGAACTTGCTTTTTCTTGACTCCATAAACCCGAATTCATTGTGATTAAAACTTTTAAAAGCTGCACAGAAGTCTCCAAGAAAAATAAGCTCTGGATTTACGCACAGTGGTCTTTCCAAATTCTACTGGAAGGTCCAATCTTTGTCAAACAACAAAAGATTCATTTTGCAAGGAACCAAGTTCAGAGCAGGAAGCCTAGAATAAAAAAAAATAAAAGAAAAAGAGACAATTAAATTGGGGAAGTACAGCTACTCTTAAATAAAACATGATTTAAATCTGTGACCAGACCAACTCCTCCTACAGAGTAATAGTTCAGCAAAATCCAAGCCAGTGACCATAGTCCCAGAACAGCCACAATATTGCTGATCATGGACATACCCATTTACGCATTTCTACTACTTACTGCCTATTTCCTTTCCTTGTCTAGTTCCTTGAAGAAAGAAGCTGTGGAAAAAGTGCAATGAAATGCAGAAAACACATAAAACACACGTAAGGGAAAGGAAAAAGGAAACTTAAGTTCACATGAACAGGAATAAACATCCTTCTCAAATTTACAAACAATATTTTATGGAAGCTTTCCACTAAAAAGATCTTTTCCCGTGCTTAGTGACTACTTATTTCTGACAAAGTGCAATGCATCTGTCATCCTGCATAACATTTTGATTTAGTGAAGCAGAAAATTGTGTTGACGAAATAGAGCAGCAGAAAATGGAAACTTCAGTAACTTATAACAGCCATTTCTTTAAATAAAGAAATGGCCAGTTTCAGTAAGTAACAGACAATGTATGAAAACCAAATTGCACCTACATTGCAACATGCAGTTCTGAGAAAAAAATAAGAAATATGTAATTTTCAGTTAGTAAAATACCCTAGAAATAAACACCTTAGTTAAACATTACCCTAAGATTTATAGCTTACAACCAATAAACTAAAAAAGGACAGTCTGAAAATACTTGATTGAGAATGGCAGCAGGTACAAAAGGAAAATACATACACACATATGGCTACAGTTCCAATCATACTGGATACATGAAGAAAGACCCACGGTACCTCAGCAGGATTTACTCTTCAAAGATGGCAGGAAACGGCAGCATACAAGTTAAAAATATAATCTTTTAAATTTTCCTGTTTTCAATCTGTGATGCCAGTTTGCATTTTGTTAAAGGAGAATCTCAATGATAATTTATGGATTTAACTTCAACAAAGTAAAAGCAAATAATCACTTTTCCTTGTGTCTAAGTAACCTATTCCTCCCCAACTTTTCTACGATGGCATTCAAATACCACAAAACTTACTGCTCTTTCTCCCACTCAGTTTGATCCCAGTTTCAGAAGCTATTGGAAAGCAGTGGAATCCAGTAGTACTGTAGCTATCTTCATCATCTTTTTTTAAACAGAAAGAGTATTTAAGAAAACTCTTTCCTCCAGAGAAAAGCAGTAACAACCACAGATAATCTGAAATTTATGCAAAGTCTCATCTTTCAGTCCCAGGAATTCACACATTTCTGTGCTGCCTTGGTGAGGCTCTTGTGCCATCCAGCCATTCCAACCTGCTCCTCCTCTGCACAGATGTGGCATGTGGGTGTCAGAGCATCACACTGAGGCACTGCTGCTGCAGCAGCTCACAGGAATTACGGGGTTTAATGTGTTTCCATCTGCAAAGTCATTAACATCTGAGGGACAGAATCTGGACAGTTTCAGACCTCACTGAAGGAAATGCTGGTAGACCGTAAATGTATTTTCAAGTTAAAAAGTACTTTTCTTCATTTTCATTCAATACACATAAATGGGCTTTAATGTTTGTCAGTGATTAATAAAAAAGTGGTGTCAGTATTGAATGAAATAGCAGTGCTTTGTATGAAGACGGATAAACAACACAACAGGATTTCACCCCACATGGAAACACGATTAAATGACCATTAGTTTTAATAAGTCTACTCAGATGTTAAAATAGTTTCATCCAAGTTCTGTCTAGTTCTCTCCTCTTACTTTTTCCAGACAGGGGGGTAAAAAATAGACCCTGTCTTGTTCTTCACAGCTCATTTTATGTTCTCAGCTTTCAAAAGCTGATGCCCTTCACTTTCTTTTTTTGTGAGCCTTTCCACAAACTTACTGAACCCCCATATACTTCAAAAAAGTATCTCTGACATTACAGGGAACCTGACCTTTCCTATTTTATTTACAGAAGTAATTCATGTTAATTTTAGTAAGTATGCATGGAAATAATATACTAAAAGAGAAGTCTGTTCAAGAGCTTAAAATGTTAATTTTAGAATATTATTTATCATATCTATTTTTAACAAGTATACCCTGCTTGCAGGTCCATTGCTGCAATATCATACAATCTTCACGTGTTTAGTAGTAAAGAATTCTGTGTGAAAACATGTTAACAGCTGCATTTAGATTATAGCACAGTAACTTTATATAGTGCATGGTCAGTCTTTCAAAGTCCTCATCCACAGAGATGTTATTAAACCCACTGGATACAGTGCCAAAAGGCTTTCCTTTATTAAAAAGTTCATTCTCCCTACATAAAAATGCCTTCTTAAAAAACTTATCTACCACCACTGCCCCCTGCCAACAAAAAAATACAGCTCTGAAAACTAAATCCTCTTCTTTTAGAATAATAAAAGTGATAAATTAGTATTTTAGCAGCACAGAAAAGCTTGTTAAAAGGATGTTAAGCTTTGGCAACATATCAAAAACATATTTACATAAACCGCTGGATTTATTTTTTTTTCAGCCATTTTCCATGGAATTGATTATTCTGCAAGCAGTAAAGTGAAATCCTTGCTGAACAAACAGCCCACGTGTATCAGACTATGGCCAGAATAAACTATTAGACTTCTATATGAATTGATTTGGGAACCAAACAAAGCACACCTACCACCAAGTCATCATTACACTGCACAACACACCAGCAACTACAAAACTCTGTGCAAACCAAAGAGTACTTGCCCACCACAGGCATTTTAAGTGTCAGAGCCTGTTCTGCTACCTTCTTCCACTCCACCTAGTACCCGAATTGTTTTCATGCTCAAAGGATTTTGGGGAGAATCAGGCAAAACACAGTTATGACTGCAACACTACATACTTCGGAAAAAAAAAAGCACTTCAAAAATCGTCAGAAGTAGACCATAATAAAATATCTAACTTCAAAGCTTCCCTAACTTCCTTTTTTATTCTTCTGTCATGAGTCACTGTTGTCACTACAGAGACATCCCATTATAAAAACAGTTTGCTCTGAAATGCAAGAACTCTGTTCCTACCCTGCAGGAGCCTCGGATGAACTGTATGGAGATATTTGAATCAGCTATCAGGTTTCAGCATGATCACACGTCCGTAGCTCTGATCCAGAGCACAAAACGAAGAGGCTAAAACAAATTGTACAGATTCTAAGAGAACTTTCACTTTAACACCGAAAAGAAATTTAAACAGCTGAGATGCAAAGTTATGTTCTCCGACAGTCCGAAAACAACTTTCGAGGGCAGGTTAAAACCCGGAGCAAGGAAATTTAGTCGCAGCTCAATGCACACATGAAAAAAACCTGACACTGGCTCCCTCACGGAGAGTTCCACGGCAAGACACGTCCGTGCGAGCCACAGGGCTCGGCCGAGCTTTGGAGAGCGATTATTCCCCCATCTCCGAGCGCCCTGTCCCCTCCCCGGGCGGTTCCGCGCAGGAAAGTCCCGACACAGTTCTGCGCTGCCCGGGGATTCACGCCGAGCCGCGGGAAGGCCCGGCCGGGCCCTGCGCGGCGCCCCCGCCCAGCCCGCAGCGGAGCCCCCGCCCCGCCATCCCCGGCCCGGCCCCGCGGCGCGGGGGGGCCAGGGGCACGGACGGAGCGCGGCCTTCGGCCGGGGAGCCGCCCCGCCCCTGCCCTGCCCTGCCCTGCCCTGTCTGAGGGCCCCGCGGCCGCGCTCGGCCCTCACCTCCTCACGGCCTGCCCCGCGCTGGGCGCGCCGCCCGCCCGCGGCACCGGCCCGGCCCCGTCCCCGGCCCCGGCGCGCTTGGCCGGCCCGCGCCGCGCTCGCCCATCGCCGCCGCGGCCGCGCAACCGCCCCTGCTGCCCCCGGCGGTCCGCCCCCGCCGCTCTCAACCAATCACAGCGCTCCGGCGCCGCAGCTCCGCAGCGCTATTGGCGAACAGCGGCGTCAGTCACGGCGGGATTCGGGGGTTTCCAGCCCGTCGCGGTTGTACGAGCGGCAGGGCAGGGGACGGGGGGCGGGGCACTCCCGCGGGAGGGCGCTGATTGGTCACGCGGAGCGCGGAGGCGGGACGTCGGGGGCTACGGCGGCGCTGATTGGGTGGAATGGGCGTGCCCCGAGGGCGGGACAGGGCGGGCGCCCGAGGGGTCGGGGCGGCTTCGCCCTTCCCATCCCATCCCATCCCATCCCATCCCATCCCATCCCATCCCATCCCATCCCATCCCATCCCATCCCATCCCATCTCATCCCTTCCCATCCCATCCCATCCCATCCCGCCCCGCCCCGCCCCGCCCCGCCCCGCAGGGACGGATCTGGATCTGGACTCGGACTTGGACCTGCCCGGGGCTCCGCTGCCCCTCCCTGGGAAGGACCCGCGCCCAGCTCCGTGAGCGGCAGCGAGTGGGGTCGGGGGACAGGGGCTCCTCGGGGCTCGGTGCGGTCACAAACCCCGCCAGGCGCGGAACTACCGAGCGAATTAATGAGCTGTCCCTCCGTGTGCGCCGGGGAAGAGGCCGGGAGGGATTTGAGCCGTGCGGTTTCCCCACCGCACGGCCTTTACAGGCGCGGGGAAATTCCGAGCTCGCTGGGGAAGCAGCGGCCGCTCCGCTCGCGTTCACGGGTTCGTGAATGTCGGGCTCGGCCTGGCTCCAGTACACAGTTGTGAAATATCTTTGCACTCAAGGAATGTAAGTAATGCTGCTGAGTATTTGATTTAATAAAGGCCAAATGAAGCTCCTCTTTAACCGACCTGCTTTTGGTTGTGACTGTCGTCTGAATGCTGCTGTTTCATCCACTTCGCATCGCTGTTGTTTATATATAGTGGGCTCTGCGTAAATAATGAATGAGAGAATGAACTCTGGGACAGAAAGGAGTTGCTCAGCGGGACGGTTGTGTTTACAGACTATTCACACATTCCCAGAAAGCAATATTTATTTTCAGAGAAGATTTTTTAATTCATTTTTTTTTTTAGTGTTGGGAGTGGGGGGGGGGGGTAAATACTGTGGCGTTTTAAACCGATGCTTTAAATTTCATTTAAAAAAATATATCTGTAGGAAGTCCATTTCTCGTAATGCAAAACTTCAAAGAAGCATCTTTGAAAAATGCAGTATATAATCCTGTACCTAAAGTGGTTACACTAACATTGACAGACAAATAAACACTTTCCTGGTTTCTTAGCATCTGTAACATTCCTCTAATACATGTTTTTATGTAATTTAGTAACATATGCAGATCAACGTTAGCTAAAGGCTGTTCTAGTAAATCTTGTTCCCTATAGCTCTCCAGAATCCAGAGACACAGTCACTAAGCAGATCCAGTGCAGCCTAAAATCAGACTGGAGTGCCCATTTCTAAGCTCTGAAGCCCTGTGTGTCACTGCCAAGGTTTTTGCTAGGAAGATGGGAAGGCAGGACACAGGGTTTTATTGGTCTGGGTACGTGCCAGATGGAAAGGACACAGAGACCAGCAGGAGTTTATTGGAAACTCCTGAGGAAACACTGAGATTCCATCTACTGTGGAACAAATGCTCACACTAATCATTTCACTAGTCACTTACAAGCAGAATTGCATTTCAAAGTCTCATTTAATTTTTAAAGAATGAATCATATTGAATATATACTAAGATTTATTCCTTACATTTCTTCATTTCACAGGAGAGCTCCCAGTAAACCCAGCCATGCTCAGCTGATCCTCAAGGTGGCTATCTACGCACAGCTGCTGCAGCTCTCCACTTGGAGAGCTGCCTTTTGTGCTACTACAACATGCATTGGCACATCTGCTGTAAACCCTGTTATCCCAAATTTCATTATGTTTACATTTTGGGTATAGATAAATCACATGGGGAACATGACTATAAGTATTAGCCAAAGTACACCATAATTATATGTGAGAGGAAAAGGGGACAGACACAACACAAGCAGAAAATATCAAAGTACTTGATAGGAATGAATACATGTAGTGTTCCTAATAACTCACAAGCAAATATTTAAAAACATTTTGTATTCCATGTAATTATGTACTTAACCCTCTGTGAATTCATCAGGAAAAATGACCAGCATGACCCATTTAGAAAGTCTGTCATTCTCCAGACAGAATAGTGCTTGTGACTTTTAACCCAAGTTAATATCCCATTGACCCACTGGCTTGCACACAGCTCTGTGTCACTGACACACCACAGATGAAAGGCAGGCCAAGACTGGTGTTTACTCTAAAGCTCCTTCATGCTCCTTTAGAACTATAAAGGCATTGTAAAGTGATAACAGGACTTTGGCAGCGTAAAACGGGCCTGGTACGTCTCTTTCATGTTGAAAACCCTGTCAGTAACACCAGCATGAGCTATTTTTCATTAAACAGTGAATGATTTCTTTAAGCCACACTCTTGTTAAGAGAGACGTGTTTTGTAATAATGAAGTATGGTCAACAAATTCCACTTTCAAATGACACAACACTATACAATTAAATATTATAGCATGGTACAAAATTTTGTGCTGTGCCAGGATAGGAGTATGGTATTCATTTATCACAGCATCACCCCAAAAGTACAGAATATTCATGCAAAACAGCTGAGTTTTTTTCTGCTAATTCAAACATGGAAATGGTTGGTATTTATCCAGCTGCATTTAAGAAAAAGAGAGGAAAGGTTCTTGTAGAAGCATCAAAGACAATATTATAACACTTTCTAAATATTAGTGATGTGATAAAAAGGGACTTGGATAAATATATTAGGTATTTCTGCTTCCCTCTGGTTTTTAGTGTTTGTTTTTTGTTGCCTTTTTTTTTTTTCTTTCTCTCACTACCTACAGTTCTAATGAATGATTTAGTAAAATAAATAAGGTTTAGTTACGTAGTTTGGGGCCTGAGATGGAAAAGCAGCACAGACTATGAGGTTGCCTGAAGCTGTAATGGACAGAAGCTGAAGAGTATTTTGTAATAGGGCTATTACAGCCACATTCTTTAATAAGAATAAGACCTTGCTGTGCCTATAATAAAATACCAATAAAATCTGCCAGGAAACTGCAGTTCGTAGATGACATTGGTTTATCTTCCAGTTTTTCAAGCTGATACCAGCTTTGTAGTTTATGATTGAACACTGTATCTGTCTGGGTTTGTGTAATCTATCTGATTGGGAAAATGGGAACTGCCCAAAATGGGCTATAAATCAAGGCAGGATATTTAACACTATTTCAGCTGTCTCCTCTGCTTTTTTAACTACCAAGAACACAAACACGGTCTTTCAATAGTGGAAGGCATCCTTAACATAGCATCACACTGCTGGCTCATCTGGTGTCTAGTTGCCAAATTTGGACATAAACTTTCAGGTTATTCTTCCTAAAATGAGTAATTTTGTCTTAAATTGGTATGGAGGGCGTAACTTCAATGACAACCACCTTTTATGCACTGCAGTGTTACGATTTTAACCTTGCCTTACTCCTACATTATTGCAGAGCATTCTTTTTCCATATCCCTTGGTAGATGCTTTTTAACACTGTGTTCTTTACGTCTGAAGAAGCCAGTGCTTTCACAGAATACAAACTCTTTGTGAGCCAGTGCATGAGGATCCCTTTACCATCCCTATAACAGAACATTTAATGAATATGTTCTTTTTTTAAGATCTTCCAGGTTAATTGGACTAGGACTTACTTATTCTGAAATAATTGAAAGTAGAGGTCATACTTAATATACTGAAAAATGTGCTTTTTTCTTTTAGCATTTAACAAGAGAAGGACAATAGCACTAAGCATCACAAAATAATACATTGCTTCTTTGGCAACACATAAATTAACAGATTCAGAATTCAAAGTTTAGATACATCTGTGAACTGTCAGCAAGAGTAAAATGCACTGAAATCCCTCTTTGGTTTTGCTCACAATTGTAACCAAACCCATAAATCTAACTTTAAAGGAATGAGAGTAGAGCCAGAAACATATGCCTTGTCTGCACTTAAAAGGGTTGGCTGGTATAGCTACACCTTAGAGCTGAATTGGCAAGCACAGATTTCTGGTGTAACTTAAATCATATTCTGCATGGAACATGCTAAAGTGGCTGAAGGACTCTGCCAGTATAATGGCATCTACACTAGGGCTTTTCCCAGTGTGGTTGTAGCTCCATTGGAGTGATTTTTCATCATTCTGACAGCTGTTTTGGCAAAACTTCTACATTTACCAAGTCCAAGTTGGAGCTGGCATTATTTTATGTGGCAAATAGAGCAGAAGAGAAGCATTGCCAGTTTATGGCCCTGGTTTTACATTATTGTAAATTGTTTGCTCTGAAGGACTGTGTGGGGCAGGATCCATGTGGTCCTTTGGATGTTTGCCTCCCACATTTGAGCTCCATTAAAATTGCTTGGTTTTTTCAGTGACTGAGCTTTGGCAAGGGGGAAACTTACATTACTAAAAAAAGATAATGTCCATATTATTTACCTCAGAAATAGCTATCCTGAGGGTTTAAAGCAAATTTCCAAAGCGAAGTGAACTGCAAAAGGAAGCATCTGCACCAAAGAACATGTGGATTAATACATCATTCTATTTCACCTTGTCCTCAGTTCAACAACGAATTTAAGCGTATATTAAGCATAGGATTAATTTTAGGCACACTCGTAAGCCCATTTCAAGTTTAGTAGACATGTCAGATGTGATAATGTTTCCATTTGAACTTTAATTAAGCAGATATTTGAAATTAATCACATGTTTAAGCACTATGTGGAATCAGGATTTCTGTCAGAAGTGCAAGTTTACACAGAGCGAGGTTGTTCGCTGTGGTGCCACCTGCATTTTCTTTCCTGAACTGGATGTTAAGTCTGTACTTTAAAGACATCCCAAAGGGCATTATTTTTCCACATAAGCACATTTACATATTTGGCTCTTTTTTCCCTAATATCCCTCTTGCTAAGCGTGGTTTTTTGGTTTCAGAAATCAATGCAGAGAAGTTTTCCTTGATTTTGTTAATTGCATTTACTGTTGAACTCTTTCCTCTGCCAAGCCCCGTGGAATCCTGACTCTGGGGTTGCCAGACCTGCCCGGTGCCGGGCCCTGCTCGCCGGGGCAGCACAAGGGCTGCTCGGGGCAGATAGGAAATCTCACGCGTAATCAGTCAGCACTGAAGCAGTGAGCCAATGGGACGAGGAAGTCTGATTTAATCAAGGCTTCTTCCTTCCTTTTTGTAAGACACAGAATGTGCCTGCTAGAAGGGAGCACAGACATGTTTTTCTGCGGTCCGAAAACGCTAAGCAGGCTTTGCGTGGCCTTGTACGGACCCTCCATGTGCCACAACTAACTGCAGTCCAGCAGGTTCCAGGTGAGTGGTCTGGGCACCTTGGTTGGTTTCTAGTTATTTCAAACTCAGTGAAGGAGCTGGAGCAGGATTTACCCTGAAATGGAACAGGATGAGTGTCTGTTCCAGATAAAATGGTGTAATTTGTTTCAGGGGGTTTGTATTGTTTCGGATGTTTTTAATATGTAAAAATGAATCGTAACTTACTTAAAAGAGCTTGGAATCGTTTTTAGCTGTGAAAATGAAACTGTTTATATGAAGTGCATGTTTTCAAGGCACATATATTCAAGGCAGAAAATTTGTGTATCGTAATGTCCAATTCTGCATTCTTCTGTTCACAAGTGTGCTGTGTTTCTCTTGTAAATCATGTTTTAAAGTAGCATTTTTATATATAAATATACACTCACATAAATGCATTTGCTACGTATGTAAAGCTATATATATATAGAAAGATTTTTTTTAATGTAAATACAATTTTGCTTATAAAGTTATCCCAGCTTACAACAAAGAAAAAAGTTGTCATTTAAATTTGTTCGGCCATTTTCAGATTCCTCATTTAATCTACTTTATATGCTCTTGGGGTAAACTGTTGTGATTTTCAAAAGATTGAGCGATTAGACAATAAGTAAGTGGCTACTCTTCATGCAGAAAAAGCAGATCTTAAGGAGGACTCAAAGAACAGTGAGAACTTTTCATTCTGGGTTTGAAGTTAGAAAATAAGGGCTTCCATGATGCTTTTATTAAGGAGGATGACAACATTGATGTACTTGTTTATCCAAGCCAGGCAAAGGCAAGGTTTCTGTTAGGGGAAAGTGGTTTGCCTGTTCATTATTTCCAGTGTGGAAAGTAATTTCTTTTCCTTTATAGCCTTGCAGCTTGCCAGAAATCAATAGGACTGCTGAAGGAGTTTCCTCACCTCTGTATCCTGCATTGCGAGTGAGTGGTTGGCAATTGGAAGCCAAATGATATGTAGTAACATCCCTCTCCTAAACTCTCACACTATTTAATAATATGCCCACTGCTTGGGCATTATTTTAGCAGGGCTTTATAAAAGTACATTGTTCTGTTATTTGATTTTCACCTCTTGGCTGAACTGTGAGCAAAACTTTGCTCGTGATAGCTAACTGAACACAGCACCCTGGCAAAGTTGTTAGCATGTTCTTAGAACACATCCAGCTGCTGGAATAACATAGTGGTGTAACAGGTAGGGTTTGGGTTTGGGTTTTTTTTTTGGTTGGTTGGTTGTTGTTTTTTTAAAAAAACAAACAGCATCCTGGGGAAATATTTATGTGGCAGAGTGGCCAATCTGGTGTGTGTAGTAGGAACATATTGTGCTAGGCATTTTATCAGTACATGGTAAAATAATGGTCCTAACAGAACAGGCATACAGATCTACTACAGTACAGTATGTAGGGTGAGAGGGCAAGTAAAGGGAAAATGCTTCTGTACAATAATTAGAAAATTCAGTTATTGTTACACTGAGCCATTGTCAAATTCACTTGTTTTGTTCTCTAGTACAGAGTAGTATAGTTCTCTATAACTGTTCTATATATTGTTCTCTATAGTACAGAGACAAGTCCCTGGCGGCAATCTGAAACTGTGAAATATGATAAAAACATTTTATTATTTTAGATACCACTCTATTTTGCCCTACAGGTTGTTATTAAGAACAGATGGAAAGTTTTTGAGTCTTGAGAACACTATATTCTAGCAGTGTAAGAGAGCCAGGCTGCTAGTTATACTAATTATCTCCAAGATTTTAGCTCATCTGAACTCATACTTGCAAGCTTGAGGGCAAAATACAAGGAGGAAAATATCTGCCCACACTGAAGTTCATGACCAAATTCTCATAGGTAAGAACTGATTTCCCCACATAATCCTATTCAATACAACTTCTTGTGGTTTTCATGTTTGGTTTTAACCTGCTAGAAAAAAGCACTTTCAGCAGTAATGGTAATAGGAATAGTTCTGCACTGGTAACTATGAAAATATTTCTATTTATTACTTTGGCTTTTATGAAACTACAGTTTCACTGATACAAGTTCACAGAGAACAATGAGTAAGTAATGAAAAAGATTACCAGACTGGATCCTCTAAAGGCATGGTACTAAGAAATATCATGGGTTTTGTAATCTTTCAGTGAGAGTTTGCAATGGACCGAGATTCACACTGCACAGCAGAAAAGGAACTGTTGGAAGCTGTAAGCAGAATTACTACATTTTCTACCACAAGCAGAATTACAACATTTTCTACCACAAGCCCATCTGATAAAGAAGAAAATCAACCCAAAGCCGAAATTTCATGTCAACTGAGAAAAGAAAACTCAGAAAAAGATGACTTGCAAGGTTGATGCTATCTTTTGATTTTATTTTTCATCTAGCTATTTATGCCATTAATCTTTTATATAAAAAACTTTTCTTATTAATTGCAACAGTAGTTCAAAGTTACACTGCTACACTGCTCTGAAATAAACCTTGATTATACTTGTAATAATAATGTAGCAAGAGTGAAACAGATGCACATCCAGGTGTGTATACACGCACACAGTATTCCTTTTAAATTGTTTGTGCCCAAAATGTATTATAGATTTAATTTACACACCGGGAGTGAAAGCAGTGATCATCAGATGGCCTGTCTCAGGAGTGCAACTTCTGTCCATCACAAAATCTGAACTACTTGATAGTATCAGCAAAGACACCAAGACTGAAGCTTATCTCAAGCAGGTGGCTCTCACACACCTTTAAAGAGGCAGCACTGAGCATTTACTATGCCCAAGACTGCTGTCATCTGTTATTAAATAAAATTTTATGTATAATCCAAAATATATGTAATCTCATCAAGATTTTTCAGCCTGCAAGGATGTCATAAAACCCATCTCTCTTAGGAAATATTTACTTTGTAGAGATCAAGCCAAGCCCCAAAGGCCCTGATAATGGAGACTGTATGGCAAATTGATTGAGAATATGTAAAAGTAGGAGTACCATGATACCTTTACAAGTCTGTTTCTGCATCAAGCTGATCTCTTACCCTTCGTTTGTGCTCATTCACCTCCATTGTCAGAATGCAACACACATTGCAGACTGACTTTGGCTGACTGCCTTGACAGTGGGCCCACTGAAATACAAATATTTCACTTCTTTTATCCACTTTACTAGCCTATATGCCACCAGATGAAAACTGTTGTCAGTAGATTTCAAAGACAGAGAAATCACCTTTTGAAATGCTACATCAAATCTCCTGTAAGCAAACTCTTCAACCAGCTGTCCTATATTTTTATATATGCATATGTATACATATGTATGTGTGTGTCTGTATGTGAGTGTAGGAGGAGAGAGAAGGGAAAGGAAGGAGGTATATAAAATATTTGCAGCTGAACTGTGTCATCAGCTACAAAAGAAAACGAGGATGCAAAAATTCCTCCTTCAGTTGAGTTGGGTATCCAGCTTTGAGGTTAGGATATTCATGTTTTCTCAGCTTTTGCCTATTACTGCACAAACCTCACATTTGAATAGGGTCAGTATTTGAAAATATGTCTGAATTTGCAGCTGCATTGTGTTAACTCCTCCTTTGAGCAACAAAGGAGCCTGGAGAAACATCTGACTCAGGAGACTCAGTTGATGTTTCTTTGGGCTGCCTCTGGGATGGTGAACAAAATCCCATGCTCAGACTGTGCCTGAGGTTACACCCTTGACATACAATACTTCTTGGCACGACTTTTTCTACAACTTTGTATTCTGCAGATGCTTTGGTGTCTTTCAAAATATTAGACCCCAATAACTTCCCTCAAAGCATCTGGACCTGTCATTATTATCAGTGAAATCACTTATTTTATCAGTCTTTAGTTCCTGCAGTTACAGCAACAAAAAATCTAGGCTGTCCTTTCATAATAAATGTATAAGAGCTTTTTTTCCAAATGCAAAGGATATAATCTGACATACTAAATATATTATTTTTAGATTCCAGTTCTACCCTAAGTCCCCACTCTTCGATGACCACTAAGGAGCTTCAGGAATATTGGAGGAATGAAAAAAGCCAGTGCAGACAAGTCAAACTCCTTTTTGAAATCCCATCAGCCAGAATTGTAGAGCACCACTTATCTAAATATGTGGTAAGCTAAGAAATTAATATGTAAGAAGATCATTAATTTTTCTTCACTCTACAGGGGTCTGCAGAGCACACAGCACGTCTCACTACATGAAAGCCTTACCGAGGGCCAAGTTTTGCAAGCCACTATCGTATGGTGTAAAAGCTCACTGATTGTACGGGCATAGCTGCTGGAATCTGCCTCTAAAAAAACCCTCTGACAGTCAATTCACAAAATCTGCATCAGTGGACAAGTGACATCAAGTAAATTAGTAGCCTGAGCATCCCTAACACCCAGAGCTTTGTCAACATTAAGGAAATTCACACAAGTAAAAAAATATCACTATAGTTACACTTCCACTGAGCTAGCCTGCTGTAGCAGCTGCAGTGCATTTGTATAACTTCCACATCAGAGGTTTCTTTTAGCACAAGTGCAAAATTCTTTGATGTTGAAAAAGCCTAAGACATCCTCCAGCTAGATCACTTGGGATTGTTCCCCTTCCCTACATAGACCTCCCTTAGGTGGCATATTTCTGTCATATTTTTAAAATAAAACATGAGTATGAGGGGGAGGAACAACACAGTAGTTTGGATTTTTGTATCTTCACTCATAGTACTGATGCTGGTCTTTTATTTCTGATTCTGCTCCTGACCTTCAGAAGGACTGATCTAGAGTGAGTCTCCTTCACCACTCCTGTGAAATTCAGATAGGGATGATTTCCTTCTTTGCTGCAATCTCTGAGACGAAAAATGCCAAGAATCATGCTAGCATTGCTGACACTGGGTCACCCAGCTTAGTAGAATTTGGAGCAGGTAAATGTTTTGCAGACTGGCCTCAGATCTTGCTGCATTCTGTACGCACCTACTTAGTTCATGCTATTCCAACCTACTTGTTGCTGCTGTTATTGCATACACTCAGCAGTATCCAGCTTGCTGAATAGTTCAAAATTATTTTAGTAGAACTGTATGAGAACAAGAGTATCACTCAGCTTATGTGCAATTAGTTAAACTCAGTTATAAGTTACATGCCTAGGCAGAAAGATTTACATTATAAAAAAATTGAGTCAATTTGAATGACAGTCAAATTAAATGGTATTTCTTGCCTTTTTCATGCACACTCCTCAAATAAAAAAAAGCAAGTACTTGTAAATTATTCACTTAGCTGCCCTTGATAAAATGACAACTTAAAAAAAATTGCTCTTATGATTGTTTTAGAATGCATCAGGCACATATACACTTTTCAGCAGGGAGCAGGACAAAGTATGGGAAAATGTCACAGTGCTTACAAATGAAAAGAGATCAGAGAAGTCAGCTCAAATTTAGAAACCTTTCAAGAGGCACCTATAAAGATCATTTATGAAGATTAAAGAGAATTTCTCTTTAAGGAAAAACAAGGAAGAGAATCAGACAGACACTGGAATGAGCACTGGTTTGCACCCTTCAACAGCAGCAAAGAAAACAACTGGCATGAGTCAAACCTGTCCAGCCCCTGTAATAAATCAGTGTGAATAGGCTGAAGTTGAATATAATTATGGTCATCTAAAAGGCCCACAGTCTGTGTCTTTAGCTGATGTGTGGTGGCCTCTGTGGAGCTTCACTGGTTTATGCACATTAGGGATTTGGCCCTTCCTCAGCATCACTGTGCTTTGATCAGATCCAGAAGAGAATCTATTTGTACAACACATAACACACGATTTTGTTTTGCAGCTATTTTCCTAATATCACATTTATTATAACCATTTTGAGGCTAGTGAAGAGCTGAGGAAGACATACTCTTGAGTTACTGTGGGCCAGCATTGCTGTTAGCTGTTAGTGAAGGAATTTAGATAGCAAACAGATTGTTGTAGAAATGTCAAATTTTTTTGTATTATTTACGTGCCAAGTAAGTTTGAATAGAGGGCAGTGATTTAGAGGGGGGGGAAGGCTTTGGAGTTGCTCCATCTTATTTTTGCACATACCAAATATATTGCCAAACACTCCCTCTTCTTTCACAGGATTAATAACACCCCCAGATCCCCAGTAATATCTCTTACAAACAACATTTCTGAATATTATGACCAATGTAAAATAGATTACATTCAATATTAAGTCTGGGAAATCCATTCAGTTTGCTGAAGATGATTGATTGCAGCAGCCACGGCTGTTACAAACAAAGTACAGCTACAGAAATGCTTTCTAAGTGTTTTTATGTGCCTCAGTCTGCTGTCAGTTTGCCTTTCCCAGCACCTTGCAGGATGGAATCTGTTAGTGCACTATCTACAACTTATTTGCATGCTAAGGCTAAGTCTGGTGACAAAAGTACAGAACAGCAGGAGGTGGGAAATATTAATTTGATGGTTGCAGACTCTTCAGGCCTACGCTGAGCATGCACCCTAATCCCAGACAGCATGTGATTTAGCAGCACTGCTGTAAACCATAGGAGTATACAAGATTACATACATAAAATTGGTGCAGGAACGTTTTAGCTGGAGGAATATACAGGCACAATATCTTTTCAAAGCAGTAACAGAAAAAATCTGACTGCAATAGGGCTAGAATGGTCCTTCTCATGCTTATTTTTCTGTTTGACTTTGTTTAGACGTATAAAATCATCATTCTGCAAACAGGGAGTTTTGACAGCAACAAGTCTGTAATCGAACGACGTTATTCGGATTTTGAGAAACTGCACCGAAATCTGCTGGAGGAATTTAGTGAAGAAATGGAAGATGTGACCTTTCCCAAAAAAGCCCTAAAGGGGAACTTCACAGAAGAAATAATCAATGAGAGAAAATTAGCCTTCAAGGACTACCTGAGACTTCTGTATTCTATGAAATGTATCCGAAGATCAAAGAAATTTATTGACTTTCTAACAAGGCCAGAGCTTCAGGAAGCGTATGGTTGCTTGCGGGGTGGCCAGTACACCAAAGCTTTGGAAATCCTTTTGGAAGTCATCGGTCTGCAGGAAAGGCTGACAAGAGGCAACCCTGTCTCAATTGTCCCTACTCTCTGTGCTATCGTGGTGTGCCACAAGGACCTGGAAAACCCAGCAAGTGCCTTTGAATATGGAGAAAAAGCTCTATCACGCCTTCGTGTGCATTCCAGCCACAGGTATTATATCCCCTTGTTAGAAACAATGATCACTCTGGCCTATGAACTTGGCAAGGATTTTCTGTCTTTGCAAGAAAAACTGGAAGAATGGAAGACAAAGAAAGATCCCATACGGGTTTTTACCCTGAAAGAACTTGCAGTTCGGGAGTACGTACAATGAACGCAAAAAAACATTTCATCAAAGAGCAAACTCCTGAAGGAGTAAGAACTGAAAATTTCCAGTTTGGCAAACATAGCATTGTATTAATTGAAAAAAAAATTAAATTAAATATCTTCCATGTTCAAAAGGGACATTAGCATCTATGTTGGAAAATATTACATTTTCTCTGCAGATATGAGGAGCACCTGAGGAGCACCTTAAGTTTTTTGAAAGAAATTTGCAGGAAAATAATCATTTATGTTTTGCTTATTTTGAATGTAGCTTATTTTCAGTGAAAAGTCAGAATAAAAAATTACAATGAATAAAGCACTTAAGACTGCAGAATCAGAAGCATTTCTTGCTCATGTGGAAACTATTTCCTTTCAAGAACAAAAATACCTTCTCAGTTGATGCAATTTCAAGGATGCATCTTCAGACACTGAATGTAGTTTTTTTTTCATCCTCCAGCTCAGGCCTGGTCAAATAGCACTTTGCTGTGTTTGAGAATGATGGGATTGGTCCTGTTCCCACTGAATTCAGCTGTTGTGGGCAGGAGAACGTGGGGGGGAAGGTTTACAATCAACTTTGGTAAGAGCAAAAGATACAAGCAATGATCATTCCATCAGAGATGAGGGAATATACCTCATTTCCCTTCCGTAACTAGCAGAGTTTTATGACTTGCATTGAAGGTACATTCTTGTTTGGGGTGATCTTTAAGCACAGCTTTGACTGGGGTGGAAAATTCAAACCACGTGTGCTACATTCATAATGGAAAGGAACTACAGGAGGGTGCTGTTGGGGAGAACATCTGGCTATTATAATGCTAGCATTTAATTCTGATTATTGAGCTGTGAGATATGGTTAACAGACGGTCTGTGCTTCTCTCTTTCCTTTCAGAGGTTTATATAAACTGGGCCTTGCCTTAGCTATACAGGCTGGTATACTGTGGAAGCATCATCTTGGTGGCACTGAAATATTATACCTAATTTTTTCAGGGATCCAACCCACCTATAAAATACTAAGCTTGTTTTGGCCCTAAAGCTCCTGGGAAAGCTTCCTAAGAGCTGAAAAAGACTCAGTTTAACCTCTTTGGTAATTTCCCTCAACTGTATGATCTCTCCCATACACTTATTTTAACAATCCAGTAAATTAATTCTCATAAATATGGTAAATAATTTAATTAACTAGCATGGGTCATTATCCTCTGCTGAACACAGTCAGGCCTGGACTCCAGTTACAGATACTACATGCACCACATTGACACTGTCAATAAATTAGGAATAACTGTATTAACTTACCTCCCAGACACATGAAAGAATCAGCTAATTGGAAATGCACTGAGCCTGAAAAACTTTGCTGTGTATTGTTACAAGAAGGATGTCTTGAAAAAAATACAGAATAATAGGAGTGTCTGGGGTAGAATGTTAATATTTTAAGTAGCTATTAACAGCTAGACATTAAACTCAAAATACATGGATTATTTGTTATTTGACAATTGTTTTTTTCTAGTTATACCAGAAATAATAGAATTAAGAGTAATTAATTAAGAGCCTTAGGGACTAATCTTCCCATAACGTATCACATTGCAGGACAGTTTAAATGAATCAAAGGTAACACCTTCTTAGAGAATGTCTGAATCAGTATCAAAGCAATGAAGAAGAAAGCATGCCTGGGGTTTGCATCACACTCAGGCAGTTTCAAGTTAAGGTAGGAAGGAGTCATGGCCTTCATGCTGCTCTAACTCCACAGAAGTTGGTGATGAAAGACCAAAAGAACAGCAAAAATCCATTTCCTCCCTTTTGCTCCCTCCCATCACTGTGTGCAGTGCCCTGGGCACAGCTCCCTTGGATTCTGCTCAGATTCCCATGGGATGGTACATGAGTCTCTGATTGCATCCACAGTCCCTCACCTTACAGCTGACCACAGGATTAGAGGGTCCATAAGGATATGCTGCCTGACAAGGACAATTACCAGGAAAGGCAGCACATCAGTAAGATCTTACTTTTAACCTCTACTTGTGGTAATGTTGTAACTTTCCATCTCAGAACGACTGACTGATCCAAAGCTGACCTATTTCTGCTGGCATGTTCTGAGGTGCAATTTGGCTAAGAGAAGAATTTATATAATTGAAAAGACAATAAAATAAATAGTGCAAAAAAACCCCAATTGTTTAAATGGAGTAAGCCAAATATCTTCTTTTCCATACAATGTACTGGTAGAATTTTATCAGCAAAATGATCCTAGAAAAGTTCTCATTGTCCTTGTCCACCAGAAGGTGAAGGTCAGTCTCCTTGTATTATGGGGGAAGATGAACTAAACAAATACAGGAATAGTGTGAAGAAAGAACATTGTTGGGTAATTCCCCCACACTGAACTTCCTTAGTAGAGACTGTTTTCAGCTGTGGCAATTAGTTGGCCACAACATCTTCAGAGCTACCCAGTAAGAACATATCATCTGCCTCACTCAAAGGGCTGATTTCAATTTCTGCTGCATTGAGACTTCCAGTCAAACCACTTCAAAGAGTCAAGGGTAATGTTCATAAAATGAGTTTGTGATTTCGTTACTATTAGAATACAACTAAAATTAAAATCTCCCCAACAATTCAAGCTCCCCCAAGCAAATCAGGTATGCATTTCCTTCCTACAAATGCAAGTCTGTGACCTTTGGATGTATGAATCTCTTCAGAGATTGCATTGAAAATCATTGGAAAGAAAAGGCTAGAATGGATATGGTGTCAAACGGGGGTCCACAGAGGCTGCATTTCATCTGGAGCTCTGCCACAGACTTGGTCTGAACTTTGCACAAGGAACTTAACTTCTGTGCCTCTATTTCCTCACTCAGTACTTCCCCATAAGGTTTCCTCATTCAGGTTTTTAGTACCCATAGATCAGGAAACCTTTGAAACCTGACCAAATAAGTTAACTCTAGCATTTAACTCAGAAATGTGCATTGGGATAGAGGCAATTTTGATTTATATAAGCCTGTTGTATTTATCAAGAATAACTTAGTACCTCTAAGTTCTCTTTCAGTTCAAGATGCCAAACCTGTGTGCTTATTGTGGATTGCATAGTTTCTTACCAGTGCAGTCTTATTTTAAAATCAGGTGCTACTTTTCTTATAAACTAGAGAAGTTACAAAATTATCTATATATTACAGTGTGCTGTAATGAGACCATGCTGGCTGATCAGCTCCACAGGCAATCAGCCAATTCCGATTTCTTACCTATATACTCTCAGAGAGTGGTTGGACCTGCCAAAAGAATTCTGCTTCTCTTTACTCACATTTCAAAAGTCAACTTCTGCATATTATTTTTTACTTGATTTTTACAGCAAAGTGAGTATTCAGCAGTTACATGTTAGTAAACTAAAGGGTAATGGCATTCCTGCTCCAATACTGACCCAATTATCTCTCACTGGTAGGGACAGCCTGAGAGGACCAGGTTCCCTCTGCCTGTACATGCAACTTTGCCTTCAACAGTTAAAAATGTGAGTCCTGGTAGGACAGATTTCCTGCAGGCAGTCAGAGATTAGTATCTTTCCCCATTACTTTTGCTCAGTGCAGCAGTACAGTAGCATTGCTGTATTGTCCTGGCTTTTTCATAAGATGTATAACAATTACATGGGTGCTCTACACCTGCCACCACATCTTAGTTTTCCTCTGAATAGTGTTTTAAGAAGGGCTCAAAAAAGAAATTGCTAACATTTCCATCCACATCTACCTGTCTTGCTTATCTATTAACTCTTGTTGAGAAGCCATTGGAGAAACAATGTCTGAAACCCTTGTGCTCTCTCCATGGGGTTCACATCCTGTCCCCATTCTATACATCCCAGCCCTACAGGTGCTGGGCCAGCAACAGTGAATAGCACTGCATCAGTGAAGCTCTTTTGGAAACAAAAAACTCTGGCACTACCACATATGCAAGAACATAATATAAATTAACAAAGCAGGTGGTTCCTGCTTCCAGCCAGCCATTTTACTTCAGTGCTGTACAACATTTGAGTGATAAAAGCCTGTTTTATAAATAAATCCATTTCATCCATTTCCTATCTCCCAAAACAATGTGTGCTCTTTACAAAATGTTTCTTTGGTTTAATAAAATAAATGGAAATGAGCAGTTTCTGGCATTTCTCCTGTTTGCATTATTAACCTTCATCAGCCATTCTCTGTACCTAGAAGGTAGCTGGAGTCAACAGACAGAACATCTGGAGACCCAAGCTCTGGTCTTGGCAATGTTACAAGCCCAGTGAGTGACCTTGATCAAGTCTAATCAAACCTCAAGTTTCTTTTGAACACCAATATGGCTTTGTCCTCTTCTATAAAACTATGGTTTACTTATATTTTAGCCATACATTCCAAAGTATCATTTTCCCCATTTTACAGCTGGGGGAATTGTGGTACAAGTAAGAGGAGTGATTTTTCCCAAAGTCTAATACAGTGGTCTGGAGACCACACTGACTGCCTGGAGAAATACTGAGGCACAACTTGCATCACAGATTTACAAAGCAGAGACGTGTCACAGTTACATGTTCTTAAGTATATGAACAGCCACAACACAGCTTCATTTTTGCCTAGTATCATATACCTGAGAAAACTGTGTGATAAGACTATGGAAGAGAAAAGAGTGGAGTAAGTCTGAACTGATAAGTGGTTGAATAGCACAAATATTTTAACAAAAATACTTTACCAAAATAGCAAAGAAAAAAAAGTCTTGCCTAGGAGATTTTTAGGTTATACCAAAAAAATCTCCAGACTTCAGTATCATTTTCCACAAGAAGGAACAGGAAAATATTTTCAAATACATTTTTCCAGTTTTAAGAATTTCTTACAACTCTGGAATTTCTTTCCAGTGCTTTTGTACTCTAAACAAGAAGAATCACACAACCACTAGAGTACCATATGCATTAGCAGTCTGTTATTATCCATTTTTCTCAACAACAGCACACAATACATCAGAGCCAATTGTCATTGACACCTCTGAAGTATACCTACAACAGATAACAATCCAAGTATAAGTTCACATTTAAATTTTTCCAGGAAAAAAAGGTAAAAAAAAAAAAATACTGTCCAACCAATATCTGCCTAAAACATCTAACAAACCACAGGCTACACACAAGCTAGAAGAAAATTTAAATAAAATCTGGGCAGATCATCTCCAAGAGTCCATGGAGAGTTGCATTACGATCTATTGAGCTTTGCCCCATTTCCATATCAATTATTATATCATTTGGGGCATTAAGTAGATAATACTGTTTACACAAGTTTCTAAAATAACTAAAGAAGCCCATGAGGATGCCTAGTTACTTATGAAACATATGCAGACA